TTTTTTATGTGTAATTGGTGAGCAAATACCAATTAAAGTCATTGTTTAATTTCACTCTTGGCCTAGTTTGAATTCACTGATGACCGGTAAATATGTGTTAAATGCCAGTGGCTGATAAACATTTACAGTATTTAAGAAATAGTGAACGTGGTTCACTTTGGAGTATGTACTGTTAAAAGGTTTATATACAATCAATTAATGTTTCTTAATTACGAATTACTGCATGGAGATGTCCAATCACACGTGTGTATGTAAGGAGTGATAATGTGTTAACATGTGTATGAAATGTAAATCCATATTCACTAATAGGTTGTAAGCCTTTAGAAATATTAACTAATAATGAAGAGTTTCAACTTCATATATATATATATATATATATATATATATATATATATATATATAATATAGACTTGCTGTCACTTTATTAGACACATCTGCCTTGCTGAAGCACATTGTAGGTGAACAGGAGCACAGAGCCGCTCTTGATTGGATACCTTTTGAGGGTTGGAGCCCTCTCAGCCTAGCAGTGACACTGAGGTATGTAGAACCACAGCAGCACCGTTGTGTTATACACGTGTAGCAGTGCCACACACTGTTCTGAGACAGCACACTGTTATACACAAGCTGCCAATCATAAACTTATGTACCTTTTCAAATTCTTAAGAACTAAAGATTTGTTCATGTTTGAAAGTATGAATGCACACATTGGCAACATGAACTATCATTGATAAACATTTGCTCATTTTCAAAGCCTCATTAACTAGTCATTTATTCATTTTCCAATTCTGATGAACAAATGATTCATTAACATATTTGTAAATATGAATACATGCATTGGTAACTACATGAACTGTCATTTGTAAACATTTGTTAATTTTCAAATTCTCATGAACTAATTATTTGTTCACAGCTATTAATCATTAGTTAATGGTATGTTAATAAAAGTTATTATAAAGTGTTACCAAATCTTTTCTTAGTCAACATCAACATTTAATTACACCCTTCACACCTCCCACAAAACACATTCACATATAAAGAGTGTGTCTGATATAGAATAAATAAATGCATTTGCTATACACACAAGTGAAAACACTCTGCTCATCAGCCTGTTGCAGTTGATCAGTTGTCATAAAAAGCTTCAGTGTATTTCTTTTTAAATGAATGTTCTCCAGCCCATGATCTGGAAATCAGTTGCAGTCCACCATCTTTAAGAATTCATTATTTCTTTAAATGCATTCCAAGGAATCACAGTGCAAACAGAGCCTGTGTCTCCACCTCCACCTTCACTTTGTGTAGTCATTGAATCATGTCTGAATTTAATCAGAAGTGCAGTGAAAGGAGGCCCATGTGAAAAGTAATTGAGTGTTTAATAGCTCCTTGTTGTGTATCATAATCCAGTATAAGCTCATGAAAAGTAGATGTCTCTCACTGTCTTGTCCTTTTTTCCTAAGCTGATTAGAGATCTAATTATAACCACTGCAATAGAGGGACACAGAAATACACATTTCCATAGAAATACATGTTGACACTGTACAGTTTACATATGTAGACATGCATTTTTACTATTGTTTTCAACAGCAGAGGTGTGATCTGTATGCTGTTTTTGTGTCCGGGATGTCTCTCACTTAATATGCCCTACAAATCAAAGATCAAAGTTATCTTAAACAAAAAGCAGTTGTTTTGTGTAATAATAAGAAGCAGAAGGAAGAGTGATTGTATTAGCCAATCAGAAGCAAGCTGCCTGTTCTTATGCTGATGTGTGTAGAGCAGTAGTAGTAGAGGCTAATCACAGACACTGAGCTAATTAATTTAGGGTTGGTCAAGTGCTGAAGTAAGAAAACCTTCAGTAAAGAGTGTCAACTAAACACACATTGTCATATCAACTGTCTATTCATGCTGTCTCCACATACAATCTTTAAAAAGACAGTTTACATGTGCCTGAATGGTAAGGAAAGCAAAGTGAGTTACTAGGCTGCTGGCCAACTGAAGTGAAAACATCAATGTTAACTTTATGGAGAAAATAGAGAAACAAATATGACATTAGTTTAGCTTGATTTTAGTCTCTCTGTTCATAGCAAAGTTTTGGATTAGGTGACAGCCTTCAAACCCAAATACACAAGAACACACTGTTTTTATCCCACTTTGTCCCTTTGAGCTCTGTGCTACTTTTAAGATTTTCACCTTTTCTAGGTTTACTACATTTGAAATGAAAAGCAAGTACAAGAGGTATGACTGTGAGTCTCCAGTCTAGTTGGCCACTCAGTCTCCTGTTTCTGTCTTTTTCATGTCTCCTATGTCTGCTCTGTCCATTCTGGTGCTGGTAAAAGCTAATGGAGTGTGAGAGATAATTAGCTGCACACATTCACAATCTTGTATTGAGGTGAAGCTTCTCCAGTCTAAACAGACTTCTGCTTTTCCAGAGTAAACTGACGCTGTCAATCCACCTTGTGAGTAGCACCTGTACACACAAGCCAAGCATGAAATTCAAGCACCTGCTGAAATGGCTCATCCTCCAGCCACCTAAGTGTGACCTGAAATGTGTTCAAGTTTTGAGGGTCTGACAGACGATGTTAAAGCATCTTTAACAAGGAGATTTAAGGACTGAGGGTGTGAGTGTGTTAGCACTGGTTTGTGTGTGCGTACATATGTGTGTTTATGACATTACAGCCTTGATAGACTCAACACACTGCAGACACTGAACAGGCTACTATGGGGGTCATTGATGACAGGGGGAACAGTGAAGCCAGTGATGATGGAAGCGGAGACAGCAGAGTGTAGCAGTGATGACTGCAGCAGATCCAGCTTCCCCAGCAGCAGCAGAGACATGAGCTACAGCAGCAGTGCTGAGCTCCTACAGTTCAGTGCCCTGATATTTTCAGTGTATATTCATATATTCCATTCAGTGTTAAGTTCTTGTTATGTTCATAGAGCTCTACCAACTCTGCAGAGTGACTACTTGATGGGTTGTTCTGTTGTTTCGAGCCTCTGGAGGAGCCACACAACTTGTGTTTCCAGCCTGAGCACCAAGTAATTATTTAATAATAAAGAGCTGCTGGGCTTATCATATAAAACTGGTTCAGTCTGTTTTGACCTGAAGTAGAACAGGTGGTGTTATGTCCCCAGGCATGGAGCAATAATCTAAACTTTTACTATATTTACTAAATTTTACTTAGCTAAACCTTAACCTTTTCTTTGAAAATCATCCAATATGTTTTCTTTAGTGTTTAGTCAGAAAACACAGTATTTCTGTTTATTTTATTAAAAAGTGAGTGATATATCCATCCATCATCTAAACCGCTTATCCTTCTGGGTCACAGTGGGGTGCTGGAGCCTATCCCAGCTGTCATTGGGCGAAAGGCAGGATACACCCTGGACAGGTCGCCAGTCCATCACAGGGCAGACATACAGACATACACATTCTCACACTCACACCTAGGGGCAATTTTAGCATGTCTAGTTGGCCTGACTGCATGTCTTTGGACTGTGGGAGGACACCGGAGTACCCGGAGGAAACCCACGCAGACACAGGGAGAACAGGCAAACTCCACACATAAATGACCCAGGTCACCTGGCCGGGAATCGAACCCAGGCCATTCTTGCTGTGAGGCGACAGCGCTACCCACTGCGCCACCGTGCCGCGGGTGAGTGATATAATTTCAGGTAAATAAAGTGTACATACCATAAGTTCCAAATAAAGCAGAACACTAGTGATCATGTTTAGGAATTAAGTTAGCAACCAATAAAGAAGCAACCAATGTGGCAATGTTCTTGATTCTACACCGATGCTTATCAGACTGGGTGATATGGAGTGTCTTTACTGCCCTCCAGTGTTGTGGAGAGACAATCACCCTCTCTTGCAAATGCTACTTTTGACTCTGTAAGTTACTGGTAACTTAAGGAGAAATGTTTGTGTTTTGATGTTGTTTAGTCAGTAACTGACAAAGCTGTTATAACCAGTTTAAACAGTAACAGTTATCTGTCCAACACAACAACTAGCAAATGTGAAGAGCGCCATGACATGATGTTTGTTTGAGATCGAGCTCTTTAAATGTAAATCATTCCTCTCCTCTCACTAAACCTCACTACAGCTGATGTTACTGAGAAAGCGTCAGACTGACAGCAACACAGCTTACTGAGTTATTTACTCTTCCTGATGAGGATCAACCACTATTACATCAACACTCTGTGCTGCAGATTGAAAACTGTAGTGATGGACAGTTTCTGTTTTTGGACTGATCAAAGCGATTGCTTGGTATATAGTGCGAATGTATGTTTGTATGTATTGGCATCTATGCTATTGCCAAAATACCACTGTACTTCAATGTATGTTTATATTTTAAAATAATTAAAAACAGTCTACCACTTTGGTCGTGCCAAATGCCTGTTAGCAAACAAAGTACTGGATCCATGAAAGATATAAAGGAGAACAAAACTGTATGTTTAAATAGTGAAATTACCTCTCCAGCTGAAAACAAGCAGTTTTTCTGTCATTTTTGTGAAATACATCATGTATCATGATACACAGAGTCACACAGCATGCAGTCTGCAGCTACACGCCTGTGATTGAGCTGAGAACAAAGATGTTTCCTTAACTCTAAGTCTTTTAAGATGGCTTTTCAGCTGGAAAATGCGACGCTAATGTTCACTCTGGTTTTTTATCTACACTGGTCTTCATTTTATTTTTTTTTTCATTTTTTAAACAGCCCAACGCCACTTACTGCTAACCTTTATGCCAATGACAACATTTTTTCATTCAGTATTCAGCAACACACAACACACCTGTTAGATCTTTTTCTTCTACAGCCGGTTTGCACACCTGCTGTCACATGATCTAAACATGGCATCGCCCATTTGTGTGGACCCGCCCCCTTATGATAAAATAGTTCATACAAGCTTACAAAGCAAATTGAGTCTTAGTCTCAGATGTGCTTATGTTATGAATAAATAAATAAATAAATAAATAAATGGACAAATCACTTTTATACATAGCATTTGGTTTTTGTGGTCATCATTTATGGCTCCTTTAAAATGTGATGTAGAAATTATGTTGTAATAAAAATCCACTGTTCCCAATAGTGATTTGCTGATTTAACTGATTTATTCAGAGAAGAATTATGATTAAAACAGAAATTAAAAAGAAAAAGGAAAAAACGACAGAAAATTAAGGCAACATGTATTAAAACTTTTAAACCTCAGAAAATCTCATCTTTAAACTCTCTGTGTATGAGCACATTCAGAAGAGCTCAGAATCATCTCAGATCACAGTAATAGATTCCACAAAGTCCACATGTAAATCATAAGAAATTCAACATCAGTCATTATTATTCCTGTGGGGAAATAATCTCAAATTATCAGCATAATAATCACACAATCATTATAAGCTTGCAAATGACACAAAAGAAAATTGGTTTCATTCAAAATATTATTTTATAAGAATGAGAATAAGTATTTTTATAAATATAGTATTTGATTGTTTAAATAATTGTTTGCCTTGCATTGTTTTATTCACAGCATTTATTTTAGTTGAACCCAGTTAATTTGCTTGTTACCATTTTTTAGTGTAGCGTAATATTAGGTGAGTAATCTATGTGTTATAATGGCTCTATAAACAGATATAAGGGGCTGCTTGATTTTGAATGCCAACACTTAAAAAAGAAAACTGTCATACAAATTAATTACAGTGAAACAGCTCTTTACTGTTTCTGACTGATGATCACTGAACATTCACTTCTGACCAGAGATCTTTCAGTTCTTTACTCTCATACATGATCTAGCTTTACCACCCCAGATACAAACTCTTTTCATTAAGATAAAAATCTGGATAAAGTAATCAAAATAAGATCATAATTATTTTGATGGAATAACTTAATATGATGAGATGTGATGTAAATGTTTCTAAGATTAAAAAAAAACAAAGAAAGTGTTAACAATGTGTAAATTGTAAATGTAATTTGTTTATATAAATTATGGGCTGTTTAAACCACTTTATCCCATTTATGCCCCATAAAACATTTTGATTTGTAATCTATAAAAAAGTCACTTCTTGCGTTTGAAGAGGTTTGAATGAAGTTTCCTGAGTAAAGACACTGGCTGTGGTCTGTCAGTCACATGACTCATCTCTATCTGAGGCTCCTCCTCCACATTATCATTATCTGGAAAATTAGTACATTTATCTCATATAACACGTCACCAAATAAAAAAAAAATTGACTAATATTATCATGTTTCACCTCCCCTCCAACCCAATGAGCTAGCTCTGAGACCTGCTGAGATACTGTTTCACTCAAAATTGCGTAATTATATGGAAGGATAATGCATCTTCTTTTCTGATTTCGTTAATTTTAAAGTCCTTAAACAACTGCACTGCCTTTTTTATTTGAAATGATTGGGTTGTTTGAATTAACCTTTCATACTGAAGAAGTGTGGATTGCTGACAATTACAAAGTAACTATAAGATTAAGACCAACAAAGTTATAAATTCTGGAAAATTCATCAGGTATTGTACATTAGAAAGTGAATCAATGGTTATACTTTGTACATGTATATTTTGTTCCCTCAAGAACCAGATTAACCTGTAACCATAGGAACAAAAAGGAATTCATCAGAAGACGTTTTGAGTATTTATCTAACTAACCAACTCTATGTTAAAGTGTTCACTGTGTATAAGAGGCCACAGTGATGACAGTGAACCCTGAATGAGTTTTACCTTAAAGAGATTCTCCTGAATGGAAATTATAATCTATATCTTCATGATCTCTGATACCAGACTCAACATATTTAGAACACAGATAGATGTAGAGAGAATTTAATTTTCACATTTGCAAAATGTCAGTGCTGCACTAATGATCATATACCATAGATAATGTAAACATGTTTTCAGCAGACTTCCTGTACACTTGATTTAAATCTCTCACTCCACCCTTCTCATTCATGTACATCTGCAACCTAGCGACAGACACAAGATCAGCCACTCACCTTTTACCCCTCCTACACCCTGTTCAGCTGTGATGACATCATCATAGTTCTCTGGTGTGTCCACTACACCAACATGGGAAGACAAATGATAACAACAAACAATCTGAGATGTGTTAAACAGTGTCAAAGCTTCAGTTTTAAATAATCTGTCTACATTAAGTAAAACATACTTGTCATGACGTTGGAGTTTGGTCCAGCAGTAACAGCATCATCGTAATTATCTGTCATGTCTTCTGTCAAAATGTGGAGATAAATGTCACTAAATCAGCATCAGTAGCATCAGTGACTGTGTTCATGTTTGAGATTACAATATTGTTACATTACAAGTCAAACCTGTTACAACAGCTGAGCTCTGATCAGCAGTGATGACATCATCATAATTCTCTGCTATGTCCTCTACAACAAAACAAAGATATTTAAAGAATATAAAATCACACAGTGCTTATCAGATATTTTAGACATAATTACTGAACAATGTAATATGATGTTTTAACACACCGTAAAGGACAGCAGACATTTTCAAATTTTGTTTAAAAAAATGAAATATAAGGTTTTGTTCTGACAGCATGTATGAAACAGAGTACAATAACATCTGAACAGAGAGAGAAAGAAAACAATAACATCTATTTGATTATTTAATCTCATAGAATTAACATCTCTACTTAATGAAAACAGAAACACACCTGATACACTATCAGAGATCTGTCCAGCAGTGATGACATCATCATAGCTCTCTGCTGTGTCCTCTTTTGCTGATTCACCTAAACCAAACAAAAGCAGGCTGACTTTACAAACAGTGCAGTCATATTTTTACATTGTGGTTTAATGTTTAAAGATAAAATCAGGTGATTAATTTAGGAACTCACTCAACAGCCCTCTGGTGGTGACATCATCATAATATTCAGCCTTTATTCCAGTCAGAGACTTTTCTGGTAAAAGAGCAAATTTGATTACTCTTAGATAAGTTAAGTCTACAGAGAGGCTGGGAACTTGATACCAATTATCTCAATGATGCTATGTGATGATCACTGACAAACACTAGATTAGGAAAAAAAATCTTTAACAAAATTTAAACAGTGTTAAAAGTTTCTCTGTCTGATCAGGACTGTGTGGGTGTCACACTACACAGTGACTGACAGTGGTTACGCTTTAAGTGCAAAAATCTCTCAGTTGAAATGAAATGACCAATATTGTTGGTAGTGTTTCATTTAGCAGTGATTTGCTTATTGCCTTGGTATTTATTTATCTTCAATATATAACCACAAACTTGCATGTCTCGACTACCCTAACCTGCAATCTTTGTCTTTCTAACAGATTCATACTGCAACATTGACTATTAACTATAAACAATCATACATGAGTTCATAGTCAAAGCATGAACACATTAAGAAAAAAGTTAATAAGCCCCTTTAATGTAATAATTTCAGAACCTTCGGTTTCAGTAGAGTCTTTTGTGAGCTACAGTGTGTGACACCATTAAGATTATGCAGGAAATCATTCCTTCCCAACTCTTCTAATCTAAACATGAATAAAATCTTTAATCAGAGAAACAAACTAAACTCACTATTGAAGAGAATTTCACTCTGAAATAGCAAAGACAGTAAATGTTGCAAGAAAATCGTATAAAGCACAACTTAGATAGAGACTAACTGTATGTGCTGTTTAGAGGTGGGTGAAGTAATCTAAACACATGGTGAAGTAAAAGTATTGTCAATTTGATGTAATAATGACTTACAGTGCTGTGAAAATGTATTTGCCCCCTTCCCAATGTCTTCTATTTTTGCTGATTTGTCACACTTGAATGTTTCATATCATCAAACTGCTTTTAATATTCGACAAATAGAACCCAAGTAAACACACAATGCTGTTTTTTAAATGATGATTTAATTTACTGAAGGAAAAATTATGTTCAGCCCTGCCTGGCCCCATGTGAAAAAGTAATTGCCCCCTTAGCAACGAAATTAAAATGACTACTTGGCTCATTTTCACTAGCCACACCCAGGCATGATTACTGCCAGACCTGTTGAATCTAAACATCACTTAAATAGAACCGGTCTGGCAATGTAAAGCAGGCTAAAAGATCTCAAAAAGCAGCACATGATGCCATATTCTAAAGAGATTCAAATAAAGATATCATTGAAAAAACAAAAGTCATTGAAATTTACCAGTCAGGGAAGGGTTACAAAGCCATTGCTAAGGCTCTGGGGCTCCAGTAAACCAAAGTGAGAGCCATTATCCATAAATGTGAACCTTCCCGGGAGTATTTTTGAAAGACATGGATCCCATTACATCTGGTGTAAAGCTAATACCGTACTCCACCATAAGAACATCATACCAACGATCAAACATGGTGGTGGTGTGATGGTTGAGGGCCACTTCACTTCTGCAGGACCTGAACGACTTTAATGAATTACTAACTGATGGAACCATGAATTCTGCTCTCTATCAGAAAATCCTGAAGGAGAACGTCTACCCGTCAGTTTGTGACCTAAAGCTCAAGCATAGTTAAGTTAAGCAGCAGCAATGATCTGAAGTACACAAGCAAGTCCACCTCAGAATGGCTCCAAAGAAATAAAATTAAGGTTTTGGAGTGGCCGAGTCAAAGTCCTGACTTGAATCCCATTGAGATGCTGTGGCGAGACCTTAAACAGGCAGATCATGCTCAGAAACCCTCCAATGTAGCTGAATTAAAACAATTCTGTAAAGAAGAGTGGGCCAAAATTGGTTACTGCAAACATTTGATTGCAGTTTTTACTGCCAGGAGTGGCACATTTAGTTATTAGGTTTAGGGGGCAATTACTTTTTCACATGGGTGAAATAGGTTTTGAAAAAAATCTTTATCTTTATCTAATAAATGGAATAATCATTTAAAAGCTGCATTTTGTGTTTACTTGTGTTATCTCATATTAGCATTAGTGGATTTGAAACATTTAAATGTGACACCTCAGCAAAAATAGAAGAAATCATGTCAGGGCAAACACTTTTTCACAGCACTGTAGGTAGTGGGGCTGCCAGAAATCCAGACAGGATGGGGATGGAGGGAGGAGGATGGTGTTATTGAGGCTTTATCTGCTTCAACAAATGGAATACATTTAGAGTAAGACTCGATTGGTCAATAGTACTAAGGTCAAAACTGGACTGTCTGGTCCAAAATCAGTAAGTAAAACTATCTTTCCACAAAAGCAAGAGCTAAAATGCACCATGTTAAAAATGCTACTTAAGTACTGAGTGACCTAAAGAACTGCAGAGGAACATCTTAGTACATCCAGCATCTATCAGCTTCTAACCTCATTATTCCTTGTTATTCCTCTCCTTTTTGCATTTCTGGTCTAAAATAATTCAGATCTCAGTAGTCAGAAGTGTGACCAGTCACAATGCAGTATTAATGCTGTTACTAATCAAACAAAAAGGAATTAACCTTAAAAAGTCAGGACAAGAAATTAAAATGGTAAAGAATACAAGAAACTTGGATTAAGAAACATAATAATGAATTCTCTAATTTCTAAATGGTGATTGTAGTATTTTATTTGTCACACATCTTCTGGTCCTCTTACCTGAGAGAAGCTCCTCATCCACATCCTCATATCCTGAATGCTGTTCTTCAGAGATGATACTTCCTGTTAGAGGAGAGCAGAACAGTCATCAAACATGTTCAGAATGCAGAACCTCCCCCAATCCTCTGAGTGCTGTGGATCATTGTGCACTATTGGCATCCAACTTTTAATTGAGTAAAGATTTTGACACAGTACACATATTTTGCTTTGTACTTTTTCCACCCTTCACCATGCATTTTGGAAAACTATTTGTCTAACAACGAGTTTAATAAACTATATATATATATATATATATATACATAATATATATATATATATATATATATATATATATATATATATATATATATATATATATATATACACACATTTCCAAAACCGATGGGACGCTGTGCAAAACAAAATGCAATGATGTGCAAATCATGTAAAAATGAAAATAGTAAAAAGACAACATCACTAACTCATTCTTTCACTTGGTCACTTATTCAGTTATTCTGATACTCAGTCCCTAACTTTTTCACTCAATCAGCCACTAACTCATTCATACAATGTCTCGGTCACTCAATCTGTCATTCAATAGGTCACCCAGTCAATCACATAGTCAAAAACTCACTTAGTCACTCCACAGGACACTCAGTCTCTTGATCACTTACTAGATTGCTTACTATAAGTTACTCACTCAGGCTCTCCACCAAGATCACTAACATGTGGCATTCCCCCCCTCACTTCAGTCACCCTGTCACTTACTTACTTGGTGAGTCACTCGGTCACTCCATCTCTAACTCACTTTGTCACTTTCTTACTTTAGTGTCAATTGGTCAATCACTCAGACACAAAGTCTCTCACGCATTCAATCACTCACTAATTGACTGGCTTGCTTGCTCAGTGATTCCTTCAGTCCCAACAAAACACACACACACACACACGCACACATGCAAAAAAACACAAATGTTACCCCCTCCACTCTCGTTTCCTCTTCCTCCCCCCTTCTATCTCTTTCACCCTCCCTTCCTCTCCCTCACTCTCTCTCACACACACACACACACACACACAAACACACCTGCAGCTGTGTGGTTTCTCTATATGTCCAAAAATGGAAGTTTTACAGGAATTACACGGTTTAACTTCAGCTGCCTTATAGATGCTTATCAGCAGAATTAACACACTACACTACATGTAGATCTACTCTAACTGCACATTTCATCTAATATACACTAAACTCTCATTTAACTGATTTACTCTTATTATTAATGCACTGAGAAAACTAGAAGAAATGATTGATGATTCTGAACAGGATATTTATGTTAAACTGTTGAATCAAAATACATTTAAGACAATTAAATATTGCTTTAGTCACTAAGAGTGAGCAGGTATGGCTCTATATCTCTAATGTAAGTATACTTTAATTTAGTACAATAATCCTCATGCAGAACACTCCATATATCACTCACCTCTTTGAGTTGAGTCATTTCTTTTAGTGTTGTATCTGCGGTCGATCTCCTCATAGACTGCCTCAGTCAGAGTCTTACGCCTCCTCTTAGAGAGCACTGTGAGGGAGACAGAGAGAAACATGGAGCCAGTTCAGTAGAAGAGAGGACTGATGACAGATTGAAGGACTAAGGATGTTTAGAGAATGTACAGAAAGTAGATTGTAGATGATCTCTGAATCTCTCTACCTCTCCTGAGCACTCTGTTCTGGTAAAACAGCACAACCAGAAGCACTAAGGCCAGGAAGAGCAGCAATCCCAGAACCAGGAGAGACACTGGATAGATGGACGGAACAGCTGCTAGAACAGCTGGTGATGGAGTGGATGTTCTCTCTGCTGGCTGACCGACTACAAATAAAAATACAGAGTAGAAATTGTACAGAACACTGAATAATCTCTTTATAATCATTTAGAAAAATGACCTAAGACATGAATAGTACCTGTGGTGGTGGAGGTGGTGGTTGTAAATATGGCTACAGTAGTAGAAGGCACAGATATGTCTATACCTACACAAACAATACATTAAAAATAAACAGATAAAGCACAAAATCCAACATAATACTGATTTAAGTGAAATCAGTGTTAACTGGCAATTCTGATTCTGAATTTTTACAATTTAAACACTGTATATGACAAAGTAGCATTAGAAAATATGAACAAATGTAAATCAATCCACTTTTCACTGAAGACTTGCAGACTGTTAAATCTGGAATAAAGATGATCTGATTGGATTCAGAAACTCCAAAATCCAGCAGCTCCTCTGACCTGAACAGGTGACTCCAGCGTCCTGCCTGTGGGAGCAGTCAGTGTAGTTCTTCAGGGAATGAGGACAGTCCCACAGGTGAATCTCATTCCCTCTACACTTCACCCTGTTCAGCCAGATAGGTCCTTCACCAGCACCAAAGACAGCACTCCCATCAGCACTCAGCGCTGGCCCACAGCCCAGCTGCCTGCAGACCACCTGAGCATCTCTGATGTCCCAATGGTTATCACAGACGGACCCCCACTTAGCGGTATGATACACCTCCAGCCTCCCAGAGCAGCTTCTTTCTCCTCCCTTCAGCCTGAGAGGCAGGTGATCTGCACCACACATGACGAGAGTCTCAAAATTCTAAACAATACAATTTACAGTAATATACTGAAATATACTGAATGATTTCCCAGAATGACAGTACCGCAACATACAATAAACCAGTACCAGTCTTATCTTATATAACTAACCTACGTGATGTATAAACATAATACACTATTGAGGAAACCAGATTGACCTCAGTTAAATAATTCACAACAGAACCAATATGATCATGAACAGTGTGGCAAAATGTAAAGCTTATCATTTTTTAAATTAAGTTAGAGAACACTGGCAAAAATTTTATTCTCTCTTGAGTAGATAACTGAAATGAATTTCCTTCTTACTTGAGCACTGTATCTGGTAGAGAGATGAAGAGCATGTCTGAAGAGTGTGTGGCTAGCTTTGGTCTGCCATGACAACAAAAATGATTGATTATTACTGATTGCTGATTATATCATGAGCTGCAATTCATAGAAAAGTCACCAATGGAATGACAGCACAGGTAAGGTAGATGGATGACCCAGTGTATCAGAGGCTCCATGCACAGATAAAGATGACTAGAGGCCTGAGTACCCACAAGTGTTCTTCCTTCTATTCTATTAATGATTGGCACACAGTATTTACATCATACGAGAGAAAAAAAAAAGGGTAACAAAAACAAAATCATTAAAAGAACTTGATGGGTTAGAACAACGTCAGTGATGAATGCAGTGAATTCTAGACATTTATTCTAGTCACAAGGAACACTAGCTATCCAAGGACTTTAGGTCAGAGGTTAACAGCGCAACAGCTCTGCCTCCTCTCTCACTGTGTATGACTCTCCCAGTACCATGAATCCTCCCTCTTAACCTGGTAGGCCCTCCCACACCTGTCACCCATGCCATGTGCACTTATGCACTCGCATACCATAACGGACGCTGGCTTTTGAACTGTGTGCTGATAACAAGCCTGATGGTCTTCAGCCCGGAGGACACAGTGTCCATGATTTCCAAAAAGAATTTCAAATGTTGATTTGTCTGATCACAGGACACTTTTCTACTTTGTCTCAGTCCATCTCAAATGAGCTCAGGCCCAGAGAAGTTGGTGGCATATCTGGGTCCTGTTTATATATGATTTCTTCTTTGCATGGTAGAGTTTTAACTTGCATTTAAGGATGCAGTGATGAACTGTGTTCACAGACAGTGTTTTTTGGAAGTGTTCCTGAGCCCAGGCAGTGATTTCCACTACAGAATCATGTCTGTTCTTAATGCAGTGCCACCTGAGGGCCTGAAGATCTAGGCTAGTCAATATTGGTTTTCAGCCTTGTCAATGGCATACAGAGATTTCTCCGGATTGTCTAAATCTTTTAAAGCTATTATGTACCGTAGATGACGAAATCCAAGTTCTCTGCTATTTTATGTTGAGAAACATTATTCTTGAATTGTTACACTATTTGCCCATGCAGTCTTTCACAGAGTGGTCAACCCCTCCCCATATTAAATTCTGAAAGACTCAGCCTCTCTGGGATGCTCTTTTTCTACCCAGTGATGTTACTGACCTTTTGCCAAATAAACACCAGATGTTTTTTTTTTTTTTCCATTACACAACTTTACCAGTCTTTTGTTGCCCCATCCCAACTTTTTTGAAATGTGTTACTGGAATCAAATTAAAAATGGGCATATATTTTTCAAAAAACAACACAGTTTCTCAGTTTCAGCATTTCATATGTTGTGTTTGTACTATTTTCAAATACATGAAGGATATATATATATATATATATACACACACATCGCTGCTGTCGGAACAAAACCTCATTTCTCCAAAATGGTAACTTTACAGGAGAAGGAAAAAACCTACTTCATCTTCAGTGTAAGTCAATGGAACTTTTAGTTTTTTCTAAGTCATTTTGCGACATTCGTTTTAGTCCATTCATCATGAAATTTACACACAATGTAAAGGACAGGCATTTTCAAATTATGTCAAAAACTGAAAAATGGAGTTACAAGGTTTGTTCCGACAGCAGTGATATATATATATATATATATATATATATATATATATATATATATATATATATATATAGTTAGGTATGTAGTATAGTTAGTGAGGTCCTCCCATCACATCAGGAAATTGGGTTCACCTAGACTCACTACAGGGTAATTATACTTTTTAAACAATATTATAATCAGTTGTGATATATACATATTCTTACAGGTTTTTGACTATTTACATTGAGGTGAGGTGTATTAAAAGTGCTTGGTGATGTGTCGGGTCTAACTGACATCATAACACTGTCTGAAACGTTTTTGCTCATGCCAATGCATAAATGCACTATAATCTGTAGAAAGGAACTGCCTACTTGAGCAGGTAATGTGAGCCACCTCATTGCGATTATCACAGTTGTTGTGTTGCCAGAGAGAAGATGGACAATGCCACAGAGTGGAGTCATGTTTCCTACATTTCACATCATCCAGCCAGTTAGGAGCTGATTCCACTCTTGCTCTACCCCAGGACACACTGCCAGATCTTCCACAGTTCAGCTCTCGACAAACCACACTCACTGTTTGTTCCTCCATCCCATTTAAACACACGTTACCCCAGCTTTCATTGTAGAACACTTCCAGATTCCCCAGACAGCCCTCAGTGAGTCTGATCTCTTTAAATTCTGTAGGGAGAAGAATGACATTACTTTAAGTGAGTACAGTGCTATGTATTATTACTTCTAGAATTACCTAAATGTAAAATATTCTACTTCAAAAGTTTAAAATCGTCTACTTTGAATGTCTTTTGAACGCTTATTTTCACCTGGAATGCATATCAGTGGTCTGAAATGTGTTGTACGTATAACATTTTCAGAGACTGCATAGCTTTTAAGGATTATCAGATGCAGAATTATTTTTCAGCTACAGTTGGCTCAAAATTTCAATTAAAAGAACATTTGACATATTTTACCTGAGCACAGGGACGTCTCGTTCCCCTCACACTCCACCTCATTCAGCCATATAGGTCCAGTTCCAGGTCCAAACCAGGCTGGTACCAGAGCACTGAGGGCCACTCCACACTGCAGTTGTCTGCAAACCACCTGCGCATCCTTAATATCCCACAAGTCATCATTCACTGTCCCCCATGAGCCACTGTGGAAAACCTCCTGCACAGTCTCCCCCAGAACCAACCAGCCTGATGGAGCTGTGAGCTGATTTAAACTTACCTACACACACACACACACACACACACACACACACACACACACACACACAAACATACACACACACACACATAAGGCAGTTAAATTATTCACACATTATATCTGTGTGGTCCTCATTACACTTGCCTTTGGCATAAGGAAGAAAGTTTGTGTCAAAGTCCTTTGACTTTGAACAATAAAGATTAAAATACATTTTGGTAAAATATTTTATATTTTAAAGATATTTTAGGAAGATTGTTAGCCATTTTGATATTTAGCTGCAATAATTTTTACCAGAGCAGGTGATTGAGAGCTGTTCTCTGGAGCTGCAGTTGACTGCTTGTGCGCTGCTGCAGTTCCCCAGATGAGCTTCACTCCCAGAACAACTGAAACCCGTCATACACATGTGTCTGTGTTCAGGACTGGAGAAGTTGAACACAGAGCCACAGCCCAGCTGTCTCCAGACCACAGAGGCCTCAGACTCACTCCAGGAGTCCAGCAGAACTCTCCTCCAGTCTTGCGTGAAGTACACCTCCACCTCCCCCTCACACTCCATCCCTCCAAAGAGCCGCACTCGCCCCTCATGAAACGCCAGAGAGGAACCTGAAGAAGAAAAAACATCATTGAACTAAAATAATTTTTGTTTGACTGAGGGAGCCTTACACCTACACAGGCATTTTTTGAGATGGACACTATGATTCATAGATCTCACCACTGCAGATGACTCCAGCATCTTGTTTATGAGAGCATGCAGTTCGACTCCATGATGAAATGGGACAATTTGACAGATGTTTTTCATTCCCCTGACAATCAAATACATCAGCCCAGATCCGGCCACTCCCCTCCCCAAACCAGTCTGAACCCAACACAGTCACAGCACTCTCACACTTCAGCTGACCACAGAGGACACTGGCAGCTCTCATATCCCAGCTTACATCACACACTGCGCCCCACTCACTGAGGTACTGGAGCTCCACTCGACCAGAACAGGAGTCAGAGCCGTTCACCAGCTGAGCCTGAGTGTGACCTGAATCAGTATCGCATTAGAGAAATATACATGCATGAGGGCAATTCAGTACCATTTATTGTGACAAGCAGTGGCAAAGCTTACTGATAATTTTAAATAATTAATCTCATTTAAAATTAAACTCAATTATAAATGAATATTTTACCGGCGCACACCAGACCCACATCACTGTCATGGGAGCAATTGTGTTTGAGTGAAGATGATGTTGGACAGAAGTAAATCTGAGATTCGTTGCCTCTACACTGAAGCCCCTCTGACCACACCTGACCCTCCCCTCTGCCTCCCCTTTTCTAGAAAGCTCAATTGCCATCAGAGAGCTTACTCTACTATTGAGAAAGAAGCGTTAGCTCTAGTTTTGGCAGTACAACATTTTGAGGTTTATCTGGCAGGGGCTGGTGGCAATATTACAGTTTATACTGATCATAATTCCCTGACTTTCTTATCAAAATTTAAAACTTATATATATATATATATATATCTGTGAGGGTCCATGGGGTTCCTGACCTTTTTTTTTTTTTTTTTTTACCCTGTTCTTCAGTGGTCAGGAACCCCATGGACCCTCACAGAGCAGGTACTATTTGGGTGGTGGATCATTCTCAGCACTGCAGTAACACTGACGTGGTGGTGGTGTGTTAGTTTGTGTTGCGCTGGTCTGAGTGGATCAGACACAGCAGTGCTACTGGAGTTTTAAACACCTCAGTGTCACTGCTGGACTGAGAATAGTCCACCAACCAAAAATATCCAGCCAACAGTGTCCTGTGACCACTGATAAAGAACTAGAGGATGGCCAACACAAACTGTGCAGCAGCAGATGAGCAATCGTCTCTGACTTCACATCTACAAGGTGAACTGACAAGGTAGGAATGTGTAATAGAGTGGACAGTGAGTGGACACAGTGTTTAAAAACTCCAGCAGCACTGCTGTGTCTGATCCACTCGTACCAGCACAACACACGCTAACACACCACCACCACGTCGGTGTTACTTCAGTGCTGAGAATGATCTACCACCCAAATAGTACCTGCTCTGTGAGGGTCCATGGGGGTCCTGACCACTGAAGAACAGGGTAAAAGGGGGGCTAACAAAGTATGCAGAGAAACAGATGGACTACAGTCTGTAATTGTAGAACTACAAAGTGCACCTATATAGTAAGTGGAGCTGATAAAATGGACAATTAGCGTAGAAACAATGAGGTGGTCATAATGTTATGCCTGATCGGTGTACAGTCCCAGACATTTGTAAAATATACTGGAAGTAAATTTATGTGGAGTTTGTGTGTGTGTATATAAACATGACAAAAATCTATAATGAAACAAGTGGAAACTCTTACTTCTTACTCTGACCTCAATTCAATTAATAATGTATTATTGAAGGATTGTTTATAAAAGCACTGTACTGAAGATTACCTGAACAAATGACTCCCGCATCTTCATCATGACTACAGTAATGTTCACCCCATTCTGGGAATATACAGTTCTTCAGTGAAGACTCTGACCCACTACAGTCCACATTATTCATCCAGATTGGTCCTGATCCTGGTCCAAAGTGAGCATCACTCAGTGTCTACAGCCTCTCCACAGCGTAGCTCTCTACACACCACTGCAGCATCACTCATATCCCAATTATAACCACACACTGTTCCCCACTGATCATCATGAAGAACCTCCACTCTCCCAGCACAGCGACTGTCACCATCCACCGACCTCAAACTGTCTGTACAACGGAGAGAGAGAGAGAGAGAGAGAGAGAGAGCACAAAGATACATGAAAATACATGCACACACAAGCATCACACCATATGTGCTTGTTGAACATTTCACTCAAAAACCATGGGCATTAATATGGAGCCTCAACTCTTATGCAAAGACTTTTCACTTTTTCAACATGGCTGAATGATCTGCTTCCATTCACCCAGCAGAGTATTAATGCAGTTTGGCAGTGATGCTGGCCGATAAGACCTGTCTCTCATTCAGTGTTCCAATGAACGCTGAGGTCAGGGCTTTGTGCAGGTGTAGCAGTATAGTTCTTATCCAGCAACTCAGCAAAAAGCACTTTGTTTTGTGCATGAGAGCATCATCATGCTGGAAAAGGAAATGCCTTCCCCAAACTGCCGCACACATTGAAGCAGACAGTTCTCTAGAATGTTACATGTGCTGTTACATCAAGATTTCAGTTAGTGTAGTTAGCTAAAAATCTTTGTAGCTAATAGCTGTAGTCGCTGAAATGTAGCTAGTAGCTGTAGCGCCTACAAATTTTTGTGTAGCTATAGAGATCATTTTCGCTACAATTTCGTGCAATCTGTGCAAAATATTAAACATAGAACGCGGTCGCTAACTGGGCTGGTGGTGACTGTGCAATCCTGACTGAGCCGCCGACAGTTCGAGCAAACGGGCACACACTGGCCCCACATGCTGATCACCCCTTACTAGTAGGCTTAGCTCAGTGGTCGCAACCGAAATGTTAAGAAGAGCCATTTTGTCCTTTAAACAAACATGAAACCCCCTTGGGAGGCACAACATTTTATGTCTGTTTTACCATCATGGCTGTAAGTGTTTCTCAGTATGTGCTGATGTACTAGTACAGGCTGAAAATATAAATAAATGCAAACTCAGACTTACTTTGCTCTACTTTAAGATTTAGCTTAGCTATAGCCGCTTTTCTTGAACCGCAGACAGGAAACGTTTCCGCGAGTTTCTTGCAAAATGTCTCTCAATGTTCAACTTTTTACGAGGCTGAAGTTGCTTCTCATTCTCCTGCTTCTTGTTCGAATTGTTCCATTTCACCTTTGGTGTCTGAGGCGCCAGATTGTACTGCTGTGCCATTTAAGGTGGAACGGGACAATCTGAATGAGAAGCAGGAGAATGAGAAGCGACTTCAGCTTCGCGAGTTGTTGCAGATTAAACTTATGGAGAAACCAGCTGAGTGCTTATAAATGTAAATAAGTCCACTGATCTTCAAATTATCGATGTTTGTCTTAAATCTCTCTCTTTGCCTTTTCGTTGTCTGCACTGCTGTGTGACCAGCAGTCTGCGCTGATCTTCAGCAGTAAAGGTTGGTGAATTAGCAGTTCTACATTAACTCCAGCATTTAAGACCCTTTATTGTGAAAACTGTGTTAGAACTGTGTGTTATAACGAGTTTACAGTAAAGGAGGATTATGTTATTTTACCTAAAAATCTAGTTCTGCTGTGGAGCCGCAACAGCTCTGCAGTAGTGGAGAGATTATTCAGGCCTGATTCTCACCCCAAACAGAGCCAGGGTCACTGATGAGAATTTTGAGGCTGAAGTATTGCTTGTGTTTAACAAAGGACTCTGAATGTCATGTCTGTTCATATCTTGCTGAAATGCTTAAATTGGAGCAGTTTTTTTCCAACAGTTGACAATGCTTTTGTAACCCCGTGGGTCAGCTCTAGTACTAAACTAGTTGTTATGGGTTTCGAATGGACCAGTATAGGTTCGCTCAGGGAGCAGCACTTTACATAAAATATTAAAGAAAAGAGACGAGACCAGTGCAGATAAAATTATACGAGTTTGTATTAAGAAATGAATTTGGGATTTCTTAGTTTCGAAAGAAGTAATAAACTTCACCAAAATAAGTACAGCAATGAAAACAAATAGTAAAATAAAAACAATACAATGAGGACCTTTCAAGTGTTCACAAAAGCTTCAATTACCCTCTAATTCAAACAATCAACTGGCATCTTCTTTCTTTTTTTTTTTAGATATTCACCTTGCGCTGATCAATATATTTAATTTCATTGACGCAGTCCTTGAACAATCAGTAGTTTACCTATTTTTTCAGTTTGTCAGTCTAATTGGTGCACTCTATTAAAGTTTCAGTAATTAATTAGCTTCTTATATCTGTATTTACAGTTAGGATTTAGGATTTAAGTCGGCTAATGTAAGTATTAATCTTCATTTATGGTTTAGATGTTAGTTTTAGCTTTAAATTCTAGTTTATGAAGTGCTACTTATGGTTTTAGTTTCCACTTATTTTGGTTCCCTCAATGCTCAAACCTTAAGCAATGAACCCTTGTTCTTTTAAAACAAAACTATTAAAACATGAATTAAACAACAAAACAAACAAATGTCAATCAACCAGACAATAACCAAGATGCAAATTCAACCTCTTTCTCAACTGTCCATAAAAATGTTAGAGCTATAAGTGGTTCGAAAATGAAATAAAATGTGTCTCCCCTTTTTGTTGTCTTATTTTTTTCAAGCTCAGTTCACTGGGGAAATTGCAATTTTCAGTCCTACCACCCTGTTGAGTGTAGTCACCAAGAGAAAAGTGCGTCTATAGTGCTCGAACTCGAAAGTCTGTTGAGTTGTCCTCTAGACGTGGGCTTGGCTCGCCATCTAGTGTCCAAACGGGTGCATACGCCACGTGCAACCGAATGCAGGGGAGAGTTGAAACAAACCAAAAAAAAAAACTGACCTGTTCACAAAAACAGCGTCTTAATACACCCACACACATTGTTCAAAACCAGTTTACAAAGCAAATTTCACTTTTCTTTTCCAATGTATATACATTTGTACCCTCGTAACACCACATGACAAGATTACTTTTCGGTAGTACAAAATGGCGGTTAGCATTCACCAATGGCACTTCTAGCATAGGCTGTAACAGCAGCTAAGCTAGTTAGCTGTTACTTTATCTACACATACAACTATTTACATCAAAAATATACGTAACACACTCACCAAATCCAATCCAGTATAAATCGAAATCGTCGTTTCAGACGTATTTCAGCTCAAAGTTCACCCTCAGCAGTCATTTGAATGACGAAGAGTATTCCAGTCAACAGCTCAGAGTAAGTACAAGCACCTCAATTGTCCTATTTGGTTAACTGTCTAGTAGCTTCCAGTCTCAAATGTCTAGTGGTTCTAGGTATCAGAAATTCTTTAGAATACTCATTTGTCAAGTATATCTTCCAAGTTTTTCTTTGTTATTTTATTTCAGTGCTCTCTTCTAACCCTAACTCTGCGTCTTCTTCACAGAATGTCTCTCGGGGGTAGGCGGAGGTAACACCCACTTAGCGCTGATTGGCCATCTCTCGTTCAGACCATGACTTGTCAAAGAACTATTGGCTGTTGATTTATGCTCACTTTATTTTCTTTACTCATCTATTTTGACTTTTTTTAAACTGTTATACTGTTTCTTAAAAAAAATCATTAAATTTGTTATTATTCCACTGTGTGTCTGCATTTAATTTGTGGCCATTTGAAACCTGGGTTACACCTTGCACAAAATTTTCTGGTTTTTATTCGGTTATTTTAGTTGATTTTTGTAAGGAAAATCCTGGAATGATTGACTTTGCCTTTAGTTAGTCTACATTTTTGTTGGATATGACACCTTTGTTGTGTAAGTTTGATTGTTGGTTACACTTAAACTTACTTTTTTACACTTAAATTTTTTTCGGGTACATGATTAAATGCAGTGTCTTGTTCACAGTTGGGCTTGTTTGGTGTGTCAGGTGAAGATTCACAAACAGTCCACAATCATGCTTTCTGGAAAAGTAGCTAAATTGTAGCTAACTACTAATTTTTCAGTAGCTATCCCAACCCTGATATCACTTCACTGGAAGTAAGTTTGTTTTTGTATTTTGTTTCTTATTCCAAATATATGATCTAATATATGATCTATGCTTTTGGGCAGTTAATGTTCTCCATTCACCAGATAACCAGATTGACCAGTCAGACTGCCAGATGAAAAAGTTTGCTTCATCACTCCAGAGGACACATTCCCATGTCTAATCTAATGGCAGTGAGCTTTACGCCACTTTAGCTGATGCTTGGCAGTGCACATAGTGTGCAGGCTTGTTTATGCTGCTCCTGAAGTTATATTGAAATGAGTGGAGTAATATGGAAATATTTCATATATAAAGATGTATAAATAAAGATGTATAAATTGTGAGTTCAGACATGCAGACTTGTGAGCAGTGATAAAGGTGAGAAGTTCAGAAAGAAAGCAATGTAGTTTGAAGATGGTTTCTTTGCTCTCAGTGGTTACAGCAGAAGATGAGGAGAGAAGAGAGAGAGAGAGAGAGAGAGAGAGAGAGGGGCTCAGAATAACTAATCCAGCGACAGGCCAGTCTTTGTCCTCCTCTACTCACCTCATCACTTAGCTGCCACTGCTGTAGACTGTTTACCTCTGTCGAACTCGGTTAGTCTGGAAATCAGTAACAGAGATGATCTCGGTCGGTGTTCGATCAATGTGAAGTTTCCTGACGGAGGTAAAAGCAGCAGCAGCTAAGTGATGAGGTGAGTAGAGAAGGATTAAGACTGACCTGTTGCTCTGAGCTCTCTCTCTCAGCCCCACCTTCTCTCCACTTATCCATTTTGCTAAGTTACCTGTACTGCACATTTTTGATTTAATACTGTAGCGCAGGCAAAGTCGCGTGAAGCCTCTGGCACTACAACATTATTATTATAACAACATTATATTATATAATAACAACATTATAACAACATTATTGCTTGTTTATTTTATATGCACTTTAAGAAGACCAATCACATGAGAAATCGGGGAGTAGAAGGCCAGGACGTTTTTTTTTTTTGTTGTTGTTTTTTCAGAGAAATGGACTAATCTAAGTGGATCTATACATGGAAATATTTCAAACATGAAGATTGTATATTTGTACAGTATTAATTGTGTTTAGACATACACACATGTGAGCAGTGAAAAAGGTGAGAAGTTCAGAAATCAAGGCTCAGCTTTGGTACACTGAGACTAAAAGTTCTGAGACTAAAACTGTAGAATGATCCAGTTCATTCTGTTCAACAACTATGCAAATGCAATGTAGTTCAAAGCTGTGCTGCTGTCCTGGAATTTTGCCTTATTTGTCTAAAATGTGATTACCAAAAGATCATTGTGGTAGAAATCTCCCCAACAACAATATTTATTAAATTGAGGCCATTCTAAAAACTCTGGTCATCTTTTGTGTTTTATCTGCTAATTTGCCTGCAGTCGCTCATAAGGCTTCTTATTGGTGGCTCGTGCTTGGACGTTTGTGATGTAATTGATGCTCCCTAAACTCTCTGTTTCACACAAAATTGACTGACTTCATTACAAATATCAATAACTTACACAAATTGACATTTTACATCCATCAATCGAAAACTACTGAAGAAATTATTCATGTATGCGAACATAAAACTAACTTTCGCTCAGAAGATTTTGCTTTCTTTTTACATTCCCGGAGCTGTCAGTTGATGTTAGCTCACTTCAGCATTAAAAACTAGCAAGTTAAGGTTAGCAAAGGTTTGATTTATAGCTATTCATATACAACCCCATTTACAAAAAAGTTGGGACGCTGTGCAAAATGTACATAAAAATAAAATGCAATGATGTGCAAATCATTTAAACCCAGTATTTAATTGAAAATAGTACTAAGATGCCATATCCAATGTTGAAATTGAGAAATGTTATTGTTTTTGCAAAAATATATGCCCATTTTGAACACGTTCCAAAAAAGTTGGGACAGGGGCAACAAAACGCTGGTAAAGTTGTGTAATGCTAAAAAAAAAACACCTGGTGGTTGATGGCAGCAGGTCAGTAACATGATACGGGTATAAAAAGAGCATCTCAGAGAGGCTGAGTCTTTCAGAAGTAAAGATGAGGAGGGGTTCACCACCCTGTGAAATACTGCACGATCAAATAGTGCAACAATCCAAGAACAATGTTTCTCAACATAAATAGCAAAGAACTTTTGCTTTTCATCATCTATGGTACATAATATCATTAAAGGGTTCATAGAATCAGGAGAAATCTCTGTATGTAAGGGGCAAGGCCATGCATTTGCTGGCCATGATCTTTGGGCCCTCAGACAGCACTGTATTAACAACAGGCATTATTCTGTAGTGAAAATCACAGCATGGGCTCAGGAACACTTCTGAAAAGGACTGTCTGTGAAAACAGTTTATTAATGCATCCAGAAATGCAAGGTAAAACTCTAAAACACAAAGAAGAAACCACATATAAACAGGATCTAGAAATGTTGTCACCTTCTTTGGGCGTGAGCTCATTTAAAATGGACTGAGGTGAAGTGGAAAAGTGTCCTGTGGTCTGACAAACCAACATTTGAAATTCTTTTTGGAAATCATGGACACTGTGTCCTCTGGGCTCAAGGCCACTCAGCTTGTTATCAGTGCACAGTTCAAATGCCAGTATTCATGATGCTATAGGGGTACAATAGTGCACATGGCACATCTCTGAAGGCACCATTAATACTGAATGATATATACATGTTTTGGCAACATATGCTGCCATCCAGACAACGATTTTTTCAGGGAAGGCCTTGCTTATTTCAGCAAGACAATGCCAAACCACATTGTGCATGTGTTACAATAGCAATGCTCCATATTAAGAGTCCTGATGCTAAACTGGCCTGCCTGCAGTCCAGATCTGTCACCCACTGATAACATTTGGCACATTATGAAATGAAAAATACAACAAAGGGGACCCCGAACTGTTGAGCCGCTGAAATCCTATATCAAGCAAGAATGGAAAAACATTTCACTTTCAAAACTACAGCATTTGGTCTCCTCAGTTCCCAAACACTTACAGAGTGTTGTTAAAAGAAGAGGTGATGAAACACAGTGGTGAACATGCCCCCGTCCCAAATTTTTGGAACGTGTTGTTGGCATCAAATTCAAAATGGGTATATATTTTTCAAAAAAACAATAAAATTTCTCAGTTTTACCATTCAAAATATTGTTTTTGTAGTATTTTCCTTTAAATATATGATTCACATGATTTGCATATCATTACGTTCTTTTTTTATTTACATTCTGCACAGCGTCCCAACTTTTTTGGAAATAGGGTTGTATATATACTGCCCTCCACAACTCCACAAATATTGGCACCCTTAGTAAACATGAGAAAAAGAGGCTATAAAAACATCCTTTTGATCTTTCATTCAAAATAGTAACAACAATCAAACATTTATTTGAAGTACAACTAAAAGAAAAACCTAAACCTTGTCATGAAATATAAATCTATGTGTTTCACAATTATTGGCACCACTTCATGTACTTCCTTTATGCAGCCTCTCTGTACAAAGATAATAGCTCTGAGTCTTAAATGCTTAATGATCTGAGATCATTCCTCCATACAGAATCTCTCCAGATGCTTTTAATTTCAAAATCCACACCCTACAGGTTTTCTGTGAGTTTAGGACAGCAGACAGGGACGACCATGGCAAATCCTGTGGACAATGAAACATTTTCTTGTGTTGACTTTGAGGTGTGATTTAGATCACTGTCCTGCTGCAAGATCTGACCACAGTCCAGTTGAAGCATCCTGGCTGAGACAGTCAGGTTTTGATTCGTCATCTGCTGGTACTTGATAGAACCATCCTTTATCCTGGCAGATTCCTAACATCTGCAGTTGGTTTATCCTTCTTAGTTATTGTCCTGACAGTGGAAATTAGCATTTTTAACCATTTTCTGATTTGTGCAGCTCAACAAACTTTAGTTGGACATCATTGCTGTTTTCTCTGGTCTTTCTCCTGATGACTGAAGGAATTTGGCCTGTGTGTCACCTCATATTCATACCCCAGTTTGAAACAGGAAGTCATGGCTGACCATTTACATGTTACTAATAACTCAGGTGAGCTTATGAACATAAAATATAAATGAGAATATTCTTTAGTAAGATTTCACTCTGAAGAATCTCTAGAGGTGTCACCAAATGTGTCAAATACAGTTTTGAAAAAAATATTGATTAGACTACTGAGTTTGATAGTTCATGTTTATTAATGTTAAAGAGCTCATACTGTGGATTACTTGATTTTTCTTATTTGAAATGAGTAAGTTTGATGTAGGATGGCAAAGGAGTATTGTTAAAAATTTCAAAATATACTGTTTACTCCCCAATACATATAGTCCATACACGGATATGAACATGCAAAACAGATCGTTTTAAATTTGACATCACAAAAACAAGACATTACACAGATTCAACTATTCAGCCTATTCAGTGCAGCTCTAAGCATTCATGTTTA